CACTTACTCCAGAGATAGGGCTAATTAGTTTTTGCCCTTGACATCATAGGTTCCATAGTTAAGAGACGGTGCAATAGGATTGTTAGTGACTTTAATTTGTCCGCTTTTCAAGAAGTGATGTTTTTTTAATTGCACTGGGAGAAACAAGCAATCTTTCTGATTCAAATTCCAAACAATAATAGTGAAAAAAGTGCACTCAGCTGCCAAGTATTTCCAAATATTCATTTTTCCCGTTCTCTTTTGATTAAGCTAGCTTGTCTCCATTATAAGCAGGGGGAATAAGATGTTCTCATCACATGTACAGTGAACATATTGATAAATTAAAAATATTCAACATTTTCAAGTTATTCACATTTTGAATTCAGCGATGCCGCTACTTGGAGATTTCCGCGTTGGGATTACCAAATTTGTGCTACTTTCAAACCTCGCTTTATTTGCTAAAAATACGTATTTGAAGAAAAACGAAACTGAAAAAGAAATGTGTGGATCTGGATGAATGAATTTGGAAAGAATTAGTGTTTTTTGGTGCTCCAAAGAGGTAACATGTTGGATGGTGAAGTCGTAACTTTGCGCGGTTATTAGCCTTCTGCTGCATGCAAATAAAGTACCTAATACATCCTTTCCCGGAACTCATCAGTAGTAAGACAAGGTCGTAAGCAAGTATAAAAAACAAGAAAAAATAAAAGAAGAACAGATATTAATCTTTAAAACGCTGGGCTGCGTGAAAGTGTGCACTTGTTAGACAACCAGAGCCGACGGAAGCTGAGTAATAGGCCTATAGGGGCTGATGATTAAGTTTGCGTTTTTTGGTACTTACTTAGATACTTAGATGGCCTGTCCGCACTCGTCATGCAGACCCCAGCATTGTTTCGATTCGTTTATGTCACTCGCTAGCCTCATCCACGATACAGAACTGCGGCGGCGACGTTCGCGCTAGATCCCTTGCTCGTTTGCAACGAAAACGTAAACCCTCCTGCTCCGTGGCCTCCCTCGAGACGTTTTGCGTCGCGGGGATTCCAATCCAGAAATCTTAGTGTCCATTTGTCGTCTGTCTTTCTCATTACATGACTAGGCCCAATGATGTTTTGCCTTATAGACGTTTCCGCTGGATCGCTATGACGAGACATTCCTCATACCTAACTGTGAAGTCCTACGAGATATTGGGGCGTCAGTTGTATGAAAAGCCGTTCGTTATAGCGCTCTTTGGGTTATTCAGAGGCCTTCGACGTAGTCACGTGTCAGACAACGTTGCTACTGCGTAACAAAGTGCAGAGAGAACAACTGAATTGAAACTGTGGGCTCCGAGCCCCGAAGGCGGCCCAGGCTGCTCTTCGCCTCCTGTTGAATTCTTCTTTCAGATCGCTCGCCATGTTCATAGCCGCCCGAGATATACGTAAGAAGATCTCCGCGATTGAAGAGCCTTCTGATTTAATTTTCTTATCCTCTCAAAAAGCGTTTCTCATGAACTAGTCTTCTTCCGGTTCGCAGTCCCCTCTTCACTACTTCGTTTAATTCTTTCAACATCCTCACTTCAGTGATACACCTCGAGGAGCGCAGTGTTGTCCGCAAGAAGGTATGAGAGGAATCTTTCATCAATTCGTCCTCTCTCGTTTCAATCCAGTGTATGATCAACCACTGCAAGGCAGCGGTAAATAGTTTTAGCGACATGGTGTCACCTTGTCAAACCCTCTTTGAAATTGTTGGTATGGTAAGGGGCGATGAAAAAGCTGCACTTTTTTCCTTATAGCAGTCGCCAATGTCTTCAAGACGGGTCCACCTCTTGATTGACGATCGCTGACAGTGGCAGTCTCGACGCTCAAACGCTTTTCTCATATCAATGAAGGTTGAGACGAGAGATAGGCGGTACTCTCACGTCGATAACCCTCGAAATTGTCTAGATGTGATCCACGCAGCTGAAACTTTCGAAAAATCCAGCTTGTTCGACAGTTTGGGCTTCATCCAGTGTCCTTGATATGCGCGTGAGAATAATCTTCGTAAAAAGCTTGTAAAGCATGCTCGGCAGGCTAAAGAACGGTAGTTCCAAAGATCCTTCCTATTCCCCTTCTTATGAAGGAGGATTGTTCGGGAAATTCTCTACTAGTTGGTTACGTTTTCCTTTTAAAAGTAAGGTGTGCCGCAAGAATCTCATGTAGGCGATGTCCTCCACGTA